AACATCTTCCTTTTTCCTGAAACATCAGTTATAACATTCATGAACTTCCCCACAGCTCCAGCAAAACTCTGGACCTCACTCTGTGTTTGTAGACGACTCTGGAAGCAACACAATCAAATCTGAGTACAACTGTCACACTCTTGTAGATGGACAGTCAAAGACAATTTGTTTCAAGGAGTCCTTACATTAACTCTAATTTCAAATAAAACACCACAAACATGTTTTAACAATGACGACATTCTAGGCCGGAGAAGCACATAATAAAATCTTTAAAAAGTCTTACCTCCAGATCAGCTCCATAATCCTCCTGCTCCACACTGTGTGTCTCTGCTCCTGTAACTGTGTCCTGAGTGTGTCCTCTGCTCCTGTAACTGTGTCCTGAGTGTGTCCTCTGCTCCTGTAACTGTAACTGTGTCCTGAGTGTGTCCTCTGCTCCTGTAACTGTGTCCTGAGTGTGTCCTCTGCTCCTGTAACTGTGTCCTGAGTGTGTCCTCCTCTGCTCCTGTAACTGTGTCCTGAGTGTGTCCTCTGCTCCTGTAACTGTGTCCTGAGTGTGTCCTCTGCTCCTGTAACTGTGTCCTGAGTGTGTCCTCTGCTCCTGTAACTGTGTCCTGAGTGTGTCCTCTGCTCCTCCTGTAACTGTGTCCTGTGTCTGAGTGTGTCCTCTTGTCCTGTAACTGTGTCCTGAGTGTGTCCTCTGTCCTGTAACTGTGTCCTGAGTGTGTCCTCTGCTCCTGTAACTGTGTCCTGAGTGTGTCCTCTGCTCCTGTAACTGTGTCCTGAGTGTGTCCTCTGCTCCTGTAACTGTGTCCTGAGTGTGTCCTCTGCTCCTGTAACTGTGTCCTGAGTGTGTCCTCTGCTCCTGTAACTGTGTCCTGAGTGTGTCCTCTGCTCCTGTAACTGTGTCCTGAGTGTGTCCTGCTCCTGTAACTGTGTCCTGAGTGTGTCCTCTGCTCCTGTAACTGTGTCCTGAGTGTGTCCTCTGCTCCTGTAACTGTGTCCTGAGTGTGTCCTCTGCTCCTGTAACTGTGTCCTGAGTGTGTCCTCTGCTCCTGTAACTGTGTCCTGAGTGTGTCCTCTGCTCCTGTAACTGTGTCCTGAGTGTGTCCTCTGCTCCTGTAACTGTGTCCTGAGTGTGTCCTCTGCTCCTGTAACTGTGTCCTGAGTGTGTCCTCTGCTCCTGTAACTGTGTCCTGAGTGTGTCCTCTGCTCCTGTAACTGTCCTGTGTGTCCTGCTCCTGTAACTGTGTCCTGAGTGTGTCCTCTGCTCCTGTAACTGTGTCCTGAGTGTGTCCTCTGCTCCTGTAACTGTGTCCTGTGTCCTCTGTCCTGTAACTGTGTCCTGAGTGTGTCCTCTGCTCCTGTAACTGTGTCCTGAGTGTGTCCTCTGCTCCTGTAACTGTGTCCTGAGTGTGTCCTCTGCTCCTGTAACTGTGTCCTGAGTGTGTCCTCTGCTCCTGTAACTGTCTGTGTCCTGAATGTGTCCTCTGCTCTGTAACTGTGTCCTGAGTGTGTCCTGCTCCTGTAACTGTGTCCTGAGTGTGTCCTCTGCTCCTGTAACTGTGTCCTGAGTGTGTCCTCTGTGTCCTCCTCTGCTCCTGTAACTGTGTCCTGAGTGTGTCCTCTGCTCCTGTAAACTGTGTCCTGAGTGTGTCCTCTGCTCCTGTAACTGTCCTGTGTCCTGTGTCCTCTGCTCCTGTAACTGTGTCCTGAGTGTGTCCTCTGCTCCTGTAACTGTGTCCTGAGTGTGTCCTCTGCTCCTGTAACTGTGTCCTGAGTGTGTCCTCTGCTCCTGCTGTGTGTCCTGAGTGTGTCCTCTGCTCCTGTAACTGTGTCCTGAGTGTGTCCTCTGCTCCTGTAACTGTGTCCTGAGTGTGTCCTCTGCTCCTGTAACTGTGTCCTGAGTGTGTCCTCTGCTCCTGTAACTGTGTCCTGAGTGTGTCCTCTGCTCCTGTAACTGTCCTGTGTCCTGAGTGTGTCCTCTGCTCCTGTAACTGTGTCCTGAGTGTGTCCTCTGCTCCTGTAACTGTGTCCTGAGTGTGTCCTCTGCTCCTGTAACTGTGTCCTGAGTGTGTCCTCTGCTCCTGTAACTGTGTCCTGAGTGTGTCCTCTGCTCCTGTAACTGTGTCCTGAGTGTGTCCTCTGCCTCCTGTAACTGTGTCCTGAGTGTGTCCTCTGCTCCTGTAACTGTGTCTGTGTCCTGAGTGTGTCCTCTGCTCCTGTAACTGTGTCCTGAGTGTGTCCTCTGCTCCTGTAACTGTGTCCTGAGTGTGTCCTCTGCTCCTGTAACTGTGTCCTGAGTGTGTCCTCTGCTCTGTAACTGTAACTGTGTGTCCTGAGTGTGTCCTCTGCTCCTGTAACTGTGTCCTGAGTGTGTCCTCTGCTCCTGTAACTGTTCTGTGTCCTGAGTGTGTCCTCTGCTCCTGTAACTGTGTCCTGAGTGTGTCCTCTGCTCCTGTAACTGTGTCCTGAGTGTGTCCTCTGCTCCTGTAACTGTGTCCTGAGTGTGTCCTCTGCTCCTGTAACTGTCCTGTGTCCTGAGTGTGTCCTCTGCTCCTGTAACTGTCCTGTGTCCTGAGTGTGTCCTCTGCTCCTGTATCTGTCCTGTGTCCTGCGACATTTGAATTTTCCCTCCAAAGGTTTTGAGGAGGAGAATTCCAGAGGTTATAATAAAGATTAAGATTATAATAAAGTCATGTTTCCTCAACCTGATTAAAACATGCAGATCTAACATCGGCCACAATCAAGTGACTTTTGTAAGATTTAAACATGCTGGACAAAGAAACGTAAAAAAGTCATGTTATTGTTGTCAAATTAGTTTTTGCAATCGGAGCAACCCCTCTTGGACCGTTTTTTCAGTGTGTGCAGCTCCCTCTCAACCATTTGAAAAAGTTGTCTTTGGTCTTTGGTAACGATATTCAAGTCTCACGATACGATATCGTCACGGTATAAATCCCACGCTACGATATTTATTGCGACATTGTGGGAAAACTCACGATTAGAAATGTAACAATATCCAAATCTCTCGGTACGATATTTTCACGATATAAAATTCACGGTACGATATTTATTACGATATTTTGTGAAGGCTAATATGCAATTTCTTCGTCTTAAAATGCCTTGACAAAATTTAACCCTCAAGAACTAAGACTTATTTATTATTATTATTATTATTATTATTATTATTATTATTATTATATAGTTATTTCTTCTTGTCGTCTGCGCTGAAATGGAGCAAAGGATCATGGTCTATGTAGTTCCCTCTGTTTTATGTTTTTTTTTTTTTTTGGCTTTTGCTGCACCATAACTCTTCTGTGTTTTTTATTTATTTTTTTATGTATTTTAATGTCTTTATTTATTTATTTATTGCTATTCTGTGATTTTGCTTTTATTTTATTTTACTTGTTTTATTATTTTAAGACTAGTGTGATTAAATCTGAGCGTTTAGTTTATGGTTTTATTATTGTTATTATTATTATTATGTATTTGTGCAACACTTTGGAAACTGTTGGTTTGTGAAATTTGGACTGGATTTAATCAAAGAGACTTGTGATTCGATATATTGTGACGATCCACGATATCATTGCGAGAACTTTTGACGATACGATATCACGATATTTCGGTTATTGTTGCATCTCTAGTTATTTTGGTCATGTTGGGTTCAAGCTCCAACTTTGAGAAAAAAATAAATAAATAAATAAATACACAAAATCATCAGAAAAATAAGAAAGAATTTATATTGACACTGTGGAACAAAATTTGTATATTTTTTAATCAGTATTATTACATTGTGCAAATGATCCAGATGATTCTAGTGCAGGTGTGTGGCGTTTCAAAACACAGTGGAGTATTTTCTGTAACACCACATGATGACATCACGAGGTGGAGCTGAGTGTTTTCGGTTTGAGAGAAGAGCTCAGCCTAAATGTGCAGAGTTTGTGAGTTAAACATAAAACAAAACACAACCCCAGTGTGTCTGTTTGTGACGAGTGTGGGAGCTATTTGCGTATTTTGTTGATTCTAAAATTTGTTTATTATTATTATTTTTTTGTTAATTGACTTACTAATTTAGTTTTGTTCATTTGCATAATACAGTTTTGCTATGTTAATATTATGTTTGCCAGTTTCTTTGTCTAAATTGTTATTATTTACCTTATTATTTATTTACCCTCACTCCCAAGTCTTCTGATCAGAGGTCAGAAGTTGGCTAAATTTAAAAATGGACATGTCACATTTTATTTTATTTGGTCAAGTTGGACACTTCGACAGATATTGTTGTAAATATTGTCTTGCTTTTAAAGAAAAATATTCACTGTAGTAAATGGAGAGGGAACAAACCATCGTTTTCTTGTTTTATGAATGAGTTTAGACTGTATTAAAACTCCCTCGTCACATTGAATAATTAATTTTGCATAAATTATATATAAGTTAGAGCATCCGAATCTTTAATTTCTGGTCTATTTTGATGAGTATACAGTCTGGAGACTAGAGACCGGTGACTGGAGACTAGACTGGAAAACAGCAAAAGACACCTCCCATCTAACTGCTAAATTCCTGTTATTTTAATGTAATGCCCCAAATTCAATTTAAATATTTTTGTATTTATTTTATATTTGTAATGGGATGTTATGTTTTCTTTTTTACTGTGACGCCCCCTGGTGTGTTCGTGTATTTACTTGTCCTTTACATGTGTTTGTAAGTTTATGTTCTAAATATACTATTTTTAAAAAAGGCCTTTAACATGTATCGTTGTTGCTTGCCAGAATTGGAAATAAATCTTGGAAACTCAGCTCTGGTCATGGACATTGATTTATGTTTAGTTCTGAGTTTGCTCACTGCTTTTGTTTGACAAATAGTCACTGCAATAAGGAAACAACATTAGAACAAATCAGAAAAAATCGTGTAATAAATCTGTGCCGGGTGTGTTGTTCCGGGGCTGCGCGCGGGGGGGCGGTAGCGCGCTCCTGGACGCGGTTTTACGCAGCGCAGTATCCGGGCACAGACGCGCTGTTTCCGGTGTTTGAAAGCCGCGGACATGGAGCTCGCGGGTGAGTCTCTGCTCCTGCCCCGATAAATCACGACTTTATCACGAGTTTGGTCTGATTTGGTCCCGTTTGGTCCGGTTTGGTCCGGTCCTGAGAGACGTGGGGACGCGGCGCAGGAGCCAAACGCGCACCGGGTCTGGACTCGAGTTCTGTCCCGGTTTAGCCTCGTTTAGCTCGACTCTAGTCCCGAGATTTAGACCGGGTTTAGTCTAGTCTGGATCAGGACTCAGTCAGGTCTGGTTTAGACTTGGTTTGGACCCGGTCTAGATCTGGTTTAGACCTGTTTTAGATCTAGCTTAGTTCTGGTTTAGACCCTGTATAGACCCGATTTATTCCTGGTTTAGATCTGGTTTGGACCTGGTTTAGTCCTGGTTTATTCCTGGTTTAGATCTAGTTTATTCCCGGTTTAGTCCCAGTTTAGACCGTGTTTTAGATCTTCCTTAGTTCTAGTTTAGACCCTGTTTAGGCCCAATTTAGTCCAGGTTTAGTCCTGGTTTAGACTTGGTTTAGATCTGGTTTGTACCCAGTTTAGACCTTGTTTAGACCCGGTGTAGTCCTGGTTTAGACTAGTAAACCATGACGTCTATGATGGTCCTGGTTTTGTTCGGGAAAAGTTGGTTTAGACCTGGTCTACCCCCTTGTTATTTCTGATCTAGCCTTGACCTAGTCCTGGTTTAGTCCGGTTTAGTCCTGCGTTAGTCCAGGTTCAGTCAGATAATCGTTCTAGTTTAGCCTGGGTTGGTCCTGATTTAGAACCCTTTAGAGACCTGGCGACTGGAGGCCGGGCTTTATCCATTTAAACACTTTTTATTTATTTTTTAATTTATGATTTACTGACTTTTATTTTATTAATTTGTCGTTTCAGCACTTTGTAAATTGTCATGTTTATAAAATTTACTAGAAATAAAGCTGATTGGTTTTACCATACTTTAATATATATATAAATTAGAGTATCCGAATCTTTCATTTTTGGTCTATTTTGATGAGTATACAGTCCGGGGGAGACTAGAGAGACTAGAGAGACTAGAGAGACTAGAGAGACTAGAGAGACTAGAGACTAGAGAGACTAGAGAGACTAGAGAGAGAGACTAGAGAGACTAGAGAGACTGGAGAGAGACTAGAGTCCCGGAGAGAGACTAGAGAGACTAGAGAGACTAGAGAGACTAGAGACTAGAGACCCGAGAGACTAGAGAGACTAGAGAGACTAGAGAGACTAGAGAGACTAGAGTCCGGAGACGTTCATGTTGTGTTTCTTTGTGTGTTTTTTTGTGGTTTTTTTGTGTGTTTTGTGTTTCTTTTGTGTGTTTCTTTTGTGTGTTTTTTGTGTGTTTGTGTGTTTTTTGTGTGTTTTTTTTGTGTGTTTTTTGTGTGTTTCTTTGTGCGTTTTTGTCGTGTTTTTGTCGTGTTTAATCAGACTCGTCGTGTTTAACGGGACTCGTTGTGTTTTTGTGGCAGTGGGCAGTGAGCCGATGACCCTGGGCTCGCCCACGTCCCCGAAGCCGGTCTCTGGAGCTCAGTTCCTGCCCGGGTTCCTCATGGGCGACCTCCCCGCCCCCTCCAGCCCGCAGCCCCGCCCCTTCGGCCTCGGCACGCCGCTCCTGGACCAATCACAAGGTACGTCCACGAGTCTCGCAACACAGAACCTTCCAGAACACGAACGTTTGAAACAAAGAACGAGCAGGAAATGACAGAAGTACTTTACTAGAACAGAAATGTGGCTGGATCTGGTTTAGGTCTGGTTTAAACCCGGTTTGGACCTGGTTTGGACCTGATTTGAACCTTGTTTGGGTCTGGTGTAGGACCTGGTTTAGGACCTTGTTTTGGACCTTGTTTGGACCTTGTTTGGACTTTGTTTGGACCGGTTTAGTCCTGGTTTAGTCCAGGTTTAGACCTGGTTTGGACTTTGTTTAGACCTGGTTTGGACCTGTTTTAAACCTTGTTTGGACCTGGTTTTTGACCTGGTTTGGACCTGGTTTTTGGACCTGGTTTGGACCTGGTTTTTGGACCTGGTTTTTGGACCTGGTTTTTGGACCTGGTTTTGGACCTGGTTTGGACCTGGTTTTTGGACCTGGTTTGGACCTGGTTTTTGGACCTGGTTTGGACCTGGTTTGGACCTGGTTTGGACCTGGTTTGGACCTGGTTTGGACCTGGTTTTGGACCTGGTTTTGGACCTGGTTTGGACCTGGTTTTTTTGGACCTGGTTTTGGACCTGGTTTTGGACCTGGTTTGGACCTGGTTTGGACCTGGTTTGGACCTGGTTTGGACCTGGTTTGGACCTGGTTTTTGGACCTGGTTTGGACCTGGTTTGGACCTGTTTTTTGGACCTGGTTTGGACCTGTTTTTTGGACCTGGTTTGGACCTGGTTTGGACCTGGTTTTTGGACCTGGTTTGGACCTGGTTTGAACCTGGCTTGGACCTGGTTTGGACCTGGTTTGGACCTGGTTTAGCCCTGTTTTACGCAGTTTTAATTCTGATTTCGATCTAAAACACAGAATAATTCCTACGGTTCTTTAAACAGACGTCATCTATGCATGTTTGAATAATCTAGCGATCTCTCCTGGGCCCTAGTCAAACCCCCTTCATGGTTCGCAGTAAGATCCAGTACGAGGCTCCGCCCACAAGCCTGCGTCACCCAAAACATGACAAATCTCCATAAAAATACAACAACATGACACAAAACTGTCCAGTACGACTTTGCAAACCTGATGTGATGTGCAGTGTGTTGTGATAGCGCTCTGAAGGGTGAGTGACTTAGCACGGAGAGCAAAGGAAAACCAAAGTGAAAATATAATAATACGTTGTGTTTGGGGTGAATAAAAAACAGTGTGAGTCCGTGTGAGTCCCTGTTTGAGTCCGTGTGAGTCCCTGTTTGTCTGTGTGAGTCCGTGTGAGTCCCTGTTTGTCCGTGTGAGTCCCTGTTTGTCCGTGTGAGTCCCTGTTTGTCCGTGTGAGTCCCTGTTTGTCCGTGTGAGTCCGTGTGAGTCCCTGTTTGTCTGTGTGAGTCCCTGTGAGTCCGTGTGAGTCCCTGTTTGTCCGTGTGAGTCCCTGTGAGTCCGTGTGAGTCCCTGTTTGTCCGTGTGAGTCCCTGTGAGTCCGTGTGAGTCCATGTGAGTCCGTGTGAGTCCGTGTTTGTCCGTGTTTTGAGTCCGTGTCCGTGTTGTCCGTGTGAGTCCGTGTGAGTCCCTGTTTGTCCGTGTGAGTCCCTGTTTGTCTGTGTGAGTCCGTGTGAGTCCCTGTTTGTCCGTGTGAGTCCCTGTTTGTCCGTGTGAGTCCCTGTTTGTCCGTGTGAGTCCCTGTTTGTCCGTGTGAGTCCGTGTTTGTCCGTGTGAGTCCGTGTGAGTCCCTGTTTGTCCGTGTGAGTCCCTGTGAGTCCGTGTGAGTCCCTGTTTGTCCGTGTGAGTCCCTGTTTGTCCGTGTGAGTCCCTGTTTGTCCGTGTTTGACCGTGTGAGTCCGTGTTTGTCCGTGTTTGTCCGTGTGAGTCCCTGTTTGTCCGTGTTTGAGTCCGTGTGAGTCCCTGTTTGTCCGTGTGAGTCCCTGTTTGTCCGTGTGAGTCCCTGTTTGTCCGTGTGAGTCCCTGTTTGTCCGTGTGAGTCCCTGTTAGTCCCTGTTTATCCGTGTGAGTCCGTGTGAGTCTGTGTTTGCGTTTCTCGTCGTTCGCTCTGTGTGTCTTTCGGCTTAACAGAGCTTTTCTGACGACACAGAATCCAGAGAAACGAGGGCGTTCCTGTTTGAAGCTGCAAATTGTCGTAACCATGAAAATCCCATTAATCCGTCTATAAACAAACGACTCGGGAACACGGCAAAAACACTAATGACAATCTGCATCTGCATCCTGACGTTTAATGAATTTATGTTTTATTTTCATTTAAAAACTGTCAAAAGGATTTTACAAGTACAGAACATGAACACAGAGGAGACGGACTCTTTAAATCTGAACTTGTGAAGGTTTTTAAAGGTTCTATATCGAGCAAAATGGACTTTTGTGACCCAAGACTGGGACCGGGAGACTAGACTAGGCCCGAGACTAGACTAGATCCGAGACTGGATCCGAGACAGGACCGGAGACTATTTACACATGTTTGAGTGATCCTTTATTATTAGGCCCGAGACCGGGCTGGAGATTAGACCGGAGATTAGACCGGAGATTAGACCGGAGATTAGACCGGAGATTAGACCGGAGATTAGACCGGAGATTAGACCGGAGATTAGACCAGAGACTGGACCAGACCCTAGA